ACAAGCGTGAGCGAGTATTGGCGGAGTTTTGGGAAGTCTCTCTCGCACAACATTGCTTAATACATCGCATTCATTGGTTAAATCTTTTATCGAAATAATGAATGGATACATCGGTTTTGTATGCGTAAATATTTCAAGGCGAAGAAGGACTTGAGGCCCAAAGCGGATCGGGCGGCCGCCGCAATTTGGTAGGAAAGTACGTCACCGAGATGCACCACCATGGGCGCGTCCAGCCCACATAGACTACTACTGGTCGGTACTTAGGCGGTCCCTCCCCAAGCCTCAAGCAAGACGGATTCTGTTGACCCGGGACCAATTACCTTGAGGTAGGCGAATAACATTCATAATGATTCGTTTTGATATTAAGTAGGTTTAATTTCATCTTCTTATATGTCAAATACTCGATGACTTGTAGGTGATTCCCTGGTGGTGCCGATCGTATCCCCGTGCTAGGCCATGATCGTGGACAAGTGGTTATCACAGGACTTTGTTGACACGCACGAGAGGCGGTAAGGAACAGGCATCGATGAGGCAAGGTCCAACTCACCATCAAGGCAGCGGCCGTAGCCTCCCGGATACAAACAAGCATCGTAAGTGATTTCTTTCATTTATTTTGATGCTCAATTCAGCTTGATTTCTCACCATCTTCCCGTCTTTCTCGCAGGAGGTCTGCGCACCCAGCGAGGAGGTCTCGAGTTCTCACGTGGGCTATGTCCCACATGGGCAGGCGTCATCCTCTGTCTCCTTCGACCCAGCCGCCCGCCCGGTGTACTCAACCGAGCGTGTACACTAAAGTCCAAGAGTACACGTCAACGGTAAGGGAGATCTATGGGGAAGATTACAATGTGCGCACTGAGCCCATTGATGCAGAGGTGATCATGAGGCTCGGAGGAGGCAAGAAGCACGGGCGGCTGTGGATTGCAGACGGCGCCATCGACTCCACCACTGTTCCCTCCCTCGATGCTATCCGAGCACAGAGCACGAGCTCCAGCCAGCCCATACGTCCACGACCTTCTCCAGCACTGCAGCAGGTCCAAGCACTCTAGGTAATTCCTGTTTTACTCATCGTACGTAGATATTTACACACCTAAATTAGATTTGCAATACTGATACATTGGAGTGAAATATTGCAGGCCGAGCTGCAAGAAACAAAAAGGCAAAGTCAAGAGCAGAACGCGGAGCTGACCGCACAGCTGCAGGCCCAGAAGGTCGCGTTCGAGGCCGCGCAGAAGCAGATGGCGGAGATGATGGTGATCATGTAAAGTCTTGGGCAAGCATCGGGTGTACCTGTGCAGTTTTTAGCTCCTCCACCTCCTCCACCTCCTACTCCTCCAGCTACTCCTATAAGTATGAAAGTTCACTTTTCGCTTGTGCTTTGCATGTATGTCGGCCTTCGTGCCGTTGTGGATGTCGGCGTTCATGCCGTTGTGGATGTCGGCGTTCGTGCCGTCGTTTCTTGCAGGTTTTGAAAACCTCCCCATGCAGGGGAGGTGCTGCCGAAATTTTCAATTGAGTCTAATCTTTTTGTATTCCTACAATACTAGATGCAATCTCTAAGTTCCAAAACTGTTTTCCCGGATTACTCACACATGCAATCTCTGCTCCTTTGTGCAGCTTCCGTCCGCGGGTTCCAATCAACCCGCTAGTGCGTCACCGGGTGATCCTGCTTTTCCTTCACCATCGTCTCATAGGCTAGCTTGATGAGGACTCGTGCTAGGTGATGTGGTTGGACTTTAGCGTGATTTGTGATTTATGGTTGTGACTTGTGCTTGGATTTCATTAACTTGTCGTAATAAACATGTGAATGATGATGAATATGTGACTTGTCGTTGTAATATATTGTGATTTGTGGTTCACAATTATGGTTGTGATATATTGTGAGAAAATGGGTTCTGTGTGATATATATATGTATATATATGAAATGCTTGTGTCGATGGAATGCAAAAAACAATTTTTTTTTAAATTTCTGCCTCTTTGCCGAGGGCAATGACCAAGGCCCTCGGCAAAGAAGGGTCCTTTGCCGAGGACCCAAGCAATAGCCCTCGGCAAAGATTTTTTTGGAAAAAAATCCTGACAATTTCTTTGCCGAGGGCCAGGGAGCAGGCCCTCGGCAAAGGGTGAAAAAAATTCAAAAAAACCATTTCTTTGCCGAGGGCCGGCCCTCGGCAAAGAATTTTTAAAAAATCCTGAAAATTTCTTTGCCGAGGGCCAGGGAGGAGGCCCTCGGCAAAGGTTTTTTAAAAAAAAATAAAAAAATTTAATTTGCCGAGGGTCGGCCCTCGGCAAACAAATTAAAAAAAACAATTTCTTTGCCGAGGGTCGGCCCTCGGCAAAGAAACCGCCAACGGCGCCGGCGCCTGACGGCTTCTTTTCTTTGCCAAGGGCCGTCCTGGCCCTCGGCAAAGGCTTTGCCGAGTGCCCGATAAAGGGCCCTCGGCAAAGACTCCTTCGCCGTCTAAAAATTCCCCGAGGGGTCTTTGCCGAGGGCAGCCCTCGACAAAGCCTTTGCCGAGGGTTTCTGGGCCTCGGCAAAGCATGCGCCTCCAGTAGTGTATGTACAAAGCTTCCTACCCTTCAATACCATAATGTTATCTAAACAACCAAGTGTTTTATGACCAACAACTAATTCATGTTTCGGTTCCTTGCGGTTTCTTGCCCTGGAGGAGTGGTTCGCAAAACCAAGAGGGACCGCACGAACGCCGTTCTGGACTAGACTTCAGGCTGCATTCTACAGAACCATTCTTGATGGCTCCATCAAGTTTTGTGCTCACCGTCGGCTTACATTTGTGGGCCTGGCGAAAGCCGCGGGAGCTTCTAAGGCAGAGATCACGGATCACCTGTCGTACATGCCTGGACTACTTGACTTGTTGACCTGGTCTCACCATTTCGTTCCAGAATGGGCGATGATATTTTTTGCGGCTTTGTGGATACCTTGAGACCGAGATTTGGAGCACCGTTTTCTCCCTGAATGGGCTAGATCAACTCTAGCAATTTCCCAAAAGTAGGGACCCTACTTGGAATTCGAGGGCTACCCATAATTTGGAGGGCTGTATTTTATGATCTCAACTCTAGCAATAGAACCCAAATCAAGGCCCTAATTTCCTGTTTTGTCTCTTTTCTTACTTTCTATGTGTATTGTACCTATTTTACCTAAGATGCATTCAACAAAATTTTTTGTACCCCATACAATTGAAAATATTAAAAACACAAATTTGAAATGTCAATTCAAAATTTAAAAAGCAAATAAATGTCAAGATACCATCACAAACATAGTTTTACAAACAAAGTTAATCACATCAATCAACCTGTGTCGAGCTATGAATGCAGGGGAGGAGGCACATGGCGGTGGAGAAGGAACATAGTGGTCGGGGGTGCGCCAAGAGTGAGGCAAAGACAGGCGAGGGGGGATGTCAGGAGAGGTCGCACCGCAACGAGAGCCAATGTTGTTGTGCCAGGAAGAGTGGACGTGGGGAGAGGGGTCAAGGCCGTGCCGGGACGAGGTAGGGCTCAGGGAGAAGCCGCATCGGTAGAGGGGGCGCTATGGAGGAGGGAGCCAAACCGGGACGGAGCTTGTGCCGGGGAGGAGGTAGGTCGGCACCGGGGACGTTGCTTGCTGTGAGGGTGGAGAATTCGCATTGGTAGCAGGGGAAAGCACCGAGACGAAGGCAGGTTTGCACTAGAACTAAGTCATAGGGACTGTTGGAGGGGTCGTCGGTGTCAACAAACAAGAGAGGGAGCAGTCGGGCTGGAGGAGAATCCGTACAAGCACGAGCTTCCAACCGTAGGAAAATAGAAATAGGGACCCCCTCCCTCGAGGGCTCCCAAGAATGAGGGCTTCGAGAAGAATCTAAGTAGGAACATAACCGGATGTCCAGATATCCAAAAATCCGATATCTGTATTTGTTTTAGTGTGAATATAAAAAATCCGTATTGATATTCGATTTAAATATGGATGTTAAATAGACATATCTGCATTCATTTTTGAAGATTATTCTCTATTCGATTTCACATCCATATTCGTCAAAAATGTGAAATATCCAATATTATTCTTATCCGCGAAGTAAATATTATTCTGAAACCATATAAATCTTAAAATTAGGACTCATTAACTATTTAAATGAAAATAATTTTAATGTAACAAATGATATGTACCGTTATATAAAAGTTATCTATGTAATTTTATTATTATTAAAAGAATACAAATCTTAAGTTTAATTAATTTTAATATGGATAATCATATCAAATAGTATTTATTTATGTATTTATATAATTTATTTTTATGTATTTAAATTTAGTAATTAATATGTATTAATATATTTAATTACTGAAATATCAATTAAAATAATTTATTTTTGGTAGTTGTTTTTATTCATGGTATTATATAGCTATATTTTAATCTGTTCATCCGTAATGATTTTATTCTATTATAAGAAACTATAATAAACAAATAGGTACATCTTATCTTCAAAATCGAGTAGATATCTGAATTCGAATCCTGATTCGACATGTCCGTTTTGCATTAGTATATGATAATATTTATATTCATATTCTAAAATCTGATTTAAAATGTGATAAATAGTAGTATCCGAAAATCTGACCCGAATCCATCCTGTCTTCTAATTTTGACGACTGAAGTAGGGGCTTGGACAGGGACTTTGCCCGAGTTGCATTAAGTGGAGTGGTTTTTTTTTCCCACCAGCCCTTCGAGTTGGAACTTGAATACGGTCTTGCTACAGTTGCCCATAGAGAGGCACCGAGCAGCAGCAACAGTCATTTAGTATTGCTCCTCCCCGCCTCCCGCTTTTGTGCTGCCCTTCCCCAGCACATTCGCATTGCTCCTCCCCGCCTCCCACTTACCCTTTCCCTCCGGTTCCCATTTAGTATTGACCAAAGAAATTGTTCCTGCGGCTCCTTTTAGGGGGGTATCCATCTTCTTCTTCCTCTTCACTGATATAGAGGGCGCTTGACTGCAGCTTCTTGTTCCTCATGTTGACATCAATCATCCAGAAAAGGCCACGGTCCTTGTCCTTGAGCAGGAAGCAGATAACATCTGGATAAACCAAGCTAACCAAAGGAAAACTTGGCTGTACCCGTGGAAGGCAACTGTGGCCAGCGCCAAGAAGACAGAAGAACTCCTCTGCTCAGCCTGTTCGTTTGGCTGTGGCTTGTCGTAAACGATTGTAAATTTCCAGCCAGAATAGTATTTTTCTCTTACACAAACCAGCCAACAGTACTTCTTCACGAACCAGCCAACCGAACAGGCTGAAGTGCTGAGATCCATTGTCCATCTGCCTTCATGGATGTCATCCAAAGTCCATGCTTTTATGGTGAAAGGAGGACGTTCGGTAAGAATACAGACGAGCTTAATGATGCCAGTGTCAGTGACACGGACAGAGCGCAACGGGTCAGGTTCGTCTGCATCCTTGTACAGGCGTTGAGACTTCAAAGCCTTTTTAGGCAGAGGGATGTAACGGAGCCATTGCTGATGATCTGGGTTGCTGTTGCTGTCAGTGAGGACATCAATGAGCAGCATGCCCTGGTAGTTGTCGACCCAGCACAGGCATGTACCAATGGGCAAGACGGCATCAGTCATCCACAAGTAGGTGTTTATCTTCGTGTCAGGAGGGATCTGCACCTTCTTAACATTCCATTCCATTGAAGATCCTGCAGGAGGTGGATTGTGCAGCAGGCATAGCTCAATCTCATAGCGCTTGGAAAACATGAGTTCTGCCACCGTGAACTCGCCTCCGTCGCCATGGCATAGGATACCCATATCTTCGGGCAACATGCTGCGCTGTCGCTGCTGCCGATGTGGTTTGCAGAACATATCAAGCTGGGGGTTGATGTGGCCACCGTCGAAGCAGGGGGGAAGCAGAGTCAGTGAAGACGGCGAAGAGGAGCGGCAGGAGTAGACGAAGTAGTCGATGGGGAAGGAGTAGCTGTCGTGCCACCACGTAGGATCCTCGAAGGGGACAGTCAACCGGAAGAGAATGGAATTGCGGTGGGCTGCGATGGCGGTGGGCTCCCGGAAGCTGATCCCCGGCCTGCCCGTCAGGTGGAGGTAGAGACGGGAGACCGCGGGAGGGTCGGCGATCCTGAGGGAGGCGCGGACGGGGCGGCCGGCGCAGTCGTGGGCGAGCGCCGAGGCCGTGGCGTCGTCTTCGACGACCCCGCAGCGCCTCCTGCTGCTGCGGTGGACGATGCGGTCGAGGATCAGCCACCTGGGGACGCGCGGCGGCGGAGGCAAGGCCGAGGGATTCCTCTGTTCCGAACTGGGGGCCCTAGTCGGAGAAGGAGATAGCTTCCTCACGCCATTGCCGGGGGCGCGCTTCCTGGTGCCGTTCTCCGCTTCTTCCATGCCGCCGCCGCGGGGGAGACCAACGGCAGCACGGTTAGGGTTAGGATGGTGATTGGCGGATCGGGGAAAGTCTCCATGTCCATGGTCAGTGGAAATTGGAAAATGACAGTTTTACCCTGTTGATTCTTTCATTTCAGCTCCAATTGTTTGTGCAGAAAAAGTCAAAATCAAACCGAACCACATTTAAAATTCAAATCAAAGTCGTTCTATATTTATTTTCTTTCTGATATACATTAGTGGTAGCTGAGTAGTCCCCGGCCTTCTCAGGTTGCCGTAGATTGTGCTCGATGAAACACTCCGCGACAAGAATGGCAGTTTAATTTCACGCCCTGTTCGTTTAGGCTTAATTGTTTGGCTGATAAGTCATGGCTGAAAGTACTGCTGGCTGATTTGAGCCCCGTTTGGCTTACCCCATATCTGGCTTGTTCGGCTTCTTTTTTCAGGCGGAACAGTGTTTTCCTCTCACAACAATTCTGCCAGAACAATGTTTTTCAGCCAAAATTCAGCCAGCCAAACGAGGCCTTAGTGTGAGAGAAAAATATTGTTCGCTGGTTAAAAAAATACGACTTATAAAGAAAAAGTGCAAAGAATAGGGCAATGGCCAGCACGTCGTCGAGCGGCGCGTTGACTTAGGTTAGTAGGTGGACCGCTGGCTTGAATGGCACGAGGACCTCCGCGAACCCACGGCGACAACACCGGCGAGCATGTCCGCTGTAGTGGTACCGAGCGACAGCAGCTGTCTAGAAGGACATCAAGGTCACGTACTGCAGGCGAATCTGAAAGTCGTGCTAATGTACACGGTTAAGCGCGTGTTTAGTTTCACGAACTTGGAATTTGGGGCTACTGTAGCACGTTCGTTTTTATTTAGTAATTAGTATTCAAATATGGACTAATTAGGCTTAAAACGTTCGTCTCGTAATTTCCCACCAAACTGTGCAATTAGTTTTTTTTTCGTCTATATTTAATACTCCATGCATAGGCCGCAAAACATTCGATGTGACAGTCTCAGTAGCACTTTTTAAAATTTAGGATCCAACTAAACACGCGCTAACATCCATCCATCACTCTCTTTCTCAGAGGTCTCAGTCTTTGTATTTATCATCCATGCAGCGGTGATGTAGACAGCAAGGTCTTGGTGATGGGCCTGCTGATCGAGACAGGTAATCTAAACCAGTAGCCTGTTGACTGAAATTAGTGACATACTGTCCCACGAACATATATCATGCAGCTAATGGTGATGAAATGACAGGCGAAACATGGAATGCAGGTTACCGAAGGAGATGAAAGTGCTCATGGTTGAGCTACAAGCGGTATTCGGTATTCCCCCTTCCCCCCACCCAAAAAAGACTTATCTTTCCACGTGCTTAAACTAAATTCAACTGTCAATCCAACTGCTATGTTTCGTGTGATTCGTGGCAGGATCACCATGAGCATGTCAGTGCAAGACATTGCCTCTGTTTGAGGTGAAGCAGGAAATTGATTTGTTGAAGTGAAAAAAAATGCTCCAAAAAGAAAAATGTCAAAGCTACCGAGGTACGGTATGAAAATAGTGAACAAGCATGCTTGTAGCTAATAATATGATAAAAGTATGTACTACTTGGACCAAGTAGAGAATCAGAGGTATCATACATACATAGGTCTAATTAACGCTCATCTACGAATGTAGCATAAAATCTGATTAAGTTACAACAGTTTGAATACGAATAGCATAAAACCTGATTAAGTCACAACATTCTGAATACGAATAGGTATGATTAGATTTGTTTGCAAAAACAACAGGCATGACATCAATCACAAACAGAACACTAACGCCAGCATCAATCCATGGACAGAACCCATGCGCTCTTGTAACAAAAACCTTTGGATCCACCTGCAATGATAAAAAAGCAAAGCTTCAGACAGGGTCCATCTGCAAACATAATGTCTTATCTTCACAGGTGAAACGGAGACATTATTATAAGTAGCATCAAAAGATGGTACTGTCCATCTACAAACCTTAACAGTGTCAAAAATTCATATCTGAAACTGAAACATTATAAGTAGCTATCAAAAGATGGCGCTTTTCATATAAAAAATTCAGAAAGTTCCCAATAGTAACACTTCCTGCAAGCATCAGACCTAACGCCTGCCTTATGCATAAACCATAAGATATTGCAACCCTGCCATTGTTTATGTAAGTTGTCCTCTTGCAAGCCTATATCATCTCTATATTCAACTTTTGGTTAAAAAAGGAAGTATACTTTTGAACAAATTGACAAACACACCTGAATATTCTCAGAATATGCCAAGTTCCCTAGGACAGGCTCCAGATTATTTATTATCAATCGTAGCAAAAGAAAAATATGGGTAAACTAATAGGTGAAGAACATCCAACAAGGAAACAAATTTGATACAACTTTCTGATGCTAAATCAAATATGACTATCTATAGGACGTTTTGAAATTTGATATAACGTTCTGATGCTAAATCAAGTATGACTAGCTATAGGACGTTTTGGTGCTAAATCACGTATCACTAGCTTCTCTTCAACTCAGATTCAATTTCTATACAAATTAGATAGGAGATAACGTTCTGGACTTCTGTATGACTAGCTATGAGACATTTCTATGCATTCCACACACGCACCTTTGGTGATCAGATCGCTGTCCACCAGAAATTCATTATAAGCTGGCTGTGGAAAAAAAATAGAATAGAAGAGAGATCATGCAGGGGTAACAGTATCCCCTTGCACTTGGATGTGAGAACAAAGGTCACACAGGGGCACGGTGCCACTGCACTTGTTGGACACAGGGTCTGAGAGAGGGGCCGGGCAAGACCATAACTTACAGAACTTGAGATCAGGGGAGGACCACAGATCTAAACAAAAGCAGGCTGTTCAACCAGACCTGGCTCAAGGTTCACGCAAGAAACCAAATAGGCCTCACTAGTAGTGCTTTAATATTAGATTATAAATCCAAAATATACAGACATGATTCAGTATAAACTTAAAAGAGCATAGGGAGTACCTAATTTGAAGAATCACATATGTTGCAAGCACACCAAATAGCTGCTGACAACCTGCATGTAATAGTAAGTTAAGATTTTCCATTTAAACGTGGCTAAAAGATTTGAAGTTTAGTTAAGCATACTCTGCGCTGATGTCAATATTCTTCTCAATTAGATTCTTGATGCTAGGAAGGAACTCTTCTAAATGAGGATTAGCAGGTATCATCAATTCAATTCCATCACCTAACTGTGGTGCATTAGCATTTTCCTGAAAATAAAAAACAACTCTGTTTGATATTGCACTTTAAACTTTAATAAACTATTTTGTCTTTTTCAATCAAGACCAAACGAATTCTTTATATGATTAACATGAAGTTAACATGACATGACATGATGACAATTAACAAAAGCCACACGATGTCACAACTATTCTAACTCATTTTTCTATTCTTTAGTAAAGAAAGAGATAAACAAAGGCAACGTACAGAGAAGTTGACTGTTGGGAGGGTGTTACTTTGTCTAGATTCTGCTTCTAGATACTACAAGGAAGCCAATTCAAACCATGCAAAGTATCAGCAAACTACTCTCCCGCCCACCTTTTTATTTTAGAAAAAAGATTATTATAGCTGAAATCTACCAAGGAAGTTATCCTACAACATTTGTTTTATTTGGGCCAATAAATACACCACTATGCTACAACACAGTTCCTCTCGCTGAGGCCCCCTTCCCCAGTATCATAGCACAATTGAACACAACAAAGTAAATAAAAAAGATACACTAATTGAAGAAGATTAAAGCTCAACTTACAGTGCAATCCGCATCATGCATGACAACATATCTCAACAGGGTAAAGGCACCAGTTTTTCCTAATGAATATGGTTTGCTAGCGCCGTTTGCTTTCTGAATGAAATGACCAAATATTACACTATTGGAGAGATCTCTGTGCCATGTATCTGAGCAACTCGCATCTTTTATTGCACTCTGCCAAACCAAAGTTTCATTTTCGTCCGCACCTTCATTCTTGCGGAACAACTGTTGATCAGTCTTTCCCTAGCATAGCTTGTCATACAACAGACAAGCGTGTCAAGAAGTAATTTGTACTTATTTGACAAGGGACCGATTACAATAGTTAAAGGTCCTGATATAGCAGGTCCCACAACATCACCCAAAATCCTCATACAAGCTTGTAGGTATGGTGGATGCTTTGAGACTACATTTTGGATGTCACTGAATTGGAGGATGCTTTTCACTTTATCAACAAACTTATTAATATCAGCTTCCACTGAACTAGGTTTAGGATGTTTCGTTGGTTTCTTGATGTGGCGAATGTGGCCTTCAACAAATTTGAAGTCCACTAACAAAAAATTTGTCGTTCCAACTTCTACCTGTAATAAATGCTTTTGTCAAGCATCTAATATAGGATGAAAGAAACCGGCATCCTAGTATGGACATTTGTAATGAAACACGACCATCTGGGAGAGAAACCACTTCTACAAAATTGTCTTTGTTGTCGTTAATATAATCTTGTAGGTTTTGATCGTCCCTGAAATGTATGCAATTTAACTATTAGTGAAATAAAGATATATATAGGTCTAGCAAGAAGTAAAGAGGTTTGGTAAAACTTAGACATTGGTTATGCATGTTTTTTTGTTTAAATAAGAAAGTTTAAGTATCTAATTTAGTAAGAAAACAAATAATCTAGCATATAAGGAACACATTAATGTTAAGTGATGATTCATTTCTATAATTATTGTTAAATGCTTTTATCATGCAAGTTTGAAGTTTATTTCTCTTTCTTAAGCAAGAGCAATTTTATTTTTTAGTTTACTGTATAGAACAAAAAAGAAATATCAAATTTAATTCAACGTACATATTAATTATATACTCAATTGTTGATGAAAAAAGACATGAACTTGAGTATATAAAGGAAATAAATCAGGATTATATTGAACTTACGCTCCTCCAAGAAGCCTGGTACATGCATGTACCATAGTGTCCCGCTTTAACCCATATGA